AGTTTAAACTCTTAAGGCGTTGGAGTTAGGAGGACTAGTTTATACTCGTATACTCATGAGAGTTTTGCCGGGTTATCCTTAAGAATATTATAAATGATTGTAGGCGTATAAAATTGCTTATAGGTCCCTTAGCATAGCTCGGCACAAACCGACGAACCAACGAGGCGACGAGGTTGACGAATCGCACGCAAGCAACGAAATACATCCATTCGCGTGCGGAATCAAGCCAACCGTTCGGGAAGTCAACGAGTCATCCAAACAAGAGCGGACTCGGATGAATCACGACCGAATCAAGATCGGTTTCGGACTCGAACTCAGAAGTGGATTTACTACCAAATCAGGAATCAGATTTACTGCCAAATCAGAGTCTAAGTCAACCGAAAAAAACAATGGATACAGGACAAAACGACAAAACCCAAACGCCTAAGGGGGCACGGCCAAGGCCGAGCCACCCGTGGGTGGCTCGGCCCAGTGCCGGCCACCCATAGGTGGCTGACCCAGATCTGTGCGCGGGCACAGTTCAGAGAGCCTATAAATAGGCTCCCCTTTGTTCATTTGAAAAGGTCGGAACTTTGAGAGCCGAAACTCTGCCGAATTGAAGATCGAGCTTGGAGTTTTGAAGACTTGAGGACTTGAAGATTCAGATCTGATTCTGAGAGCCGAAACTCTGCCGAATTGAAGATCGAGCTTGGAGTTTTGAAGACTTGAGGACTTAAACATTCAGATCTGGTTCTCGGCGAGCGTCCACGTCACAAAAGGCAGGAGTTCGAGAGAGGTAAAGATCAGATCTGAGATCTACACGAGATCATACTCCGGATCAAAGCTTGGCCTTTGATCCCGAGAACTAAGGGCGATTATTTCCTTGGTGAATTAATCCCCCCCGGCTATTATTTCCTTCGCGAAATAATACCCATCAAATCGTGTAGATCCGACCGGATCTAGATCGCGCGGTGGTCCACGGATTAACCCCGGCGTCTTTTTCTTTGATTTCGTTATAACCGGATCTAAAAAAGACCGGATCTTTTGTAACCAAAAAGCAATTACTTGAGATAACAATGAATTCAATGAAGGCAATTTTTACCGCGAACAATCTGGCGACCATAGTGGGATCCACCGATCTCGCTGTCGAGATCGTCACGTCGCAGCCGCGGATCTCAATCCCGGTCGTGGAGGAGGTCGAGTACGAATTCGACCAGGCCAAGTTCGAGGAGTATCTCTCATCCTCGTCCGGATCTACCTCCCCCCGCAAGTCCAAGAAGCTCTCCTCCAGGAGAAAAGCTCGTTGGTTCGAAGAAGTTGCCAACGAAGCTCTCACCCCGGCTGACGCCAAAGTCGCGTCGGGTGAAGTTCCACCGCCCTCCAATGAGGTCAAACCTATCCGTGCCGATGCCTCTACTATTCAGGGCGTTGTGACTCTCTCAAAGAGAGCCCGCCAGAGGCGACGTCCAGCCTCAACAACTGAAGAATGGTGGTTCCTCCAAGCCGCCGACGAACGAATGGATCCGGGTCAAACGGAACCGTTCGACACTCGAAGAGCGAATTCACAAACGCCGCGCATTGCTTGCACAAGCAAAAATTCTTGTGCAAAAGGCTGAGAAATTGAGGGAAGAAAAAGTGGCCAAAAAGCCGCCATCAACCCGCCAAGTGTGGAGGCCGAAGCAGCCTCCAACCAAAGTTCAACCTCCGGTGAATCAACCAAAGTCGCCGGTAATCCCAATAGTTTCTACGGGAGATCATGCAGAGTCATCCCGAAAAAAGAAGCCAGTTTTGGAGTGTCTCGGTCCACTTCCCGATGAGCGAGTCAAGGCTCCAGTTCAAGAGCGTTTGGGCTCGATAAAGAAGCCCCGAACGACGCAACATGCTGAGGGTCGTCGTTACCCTCAACATGACAAAGAGACCAGGGCAGCTACGCGCACCAACTTGCGCATTGAAGTCCAGGAGCCCACCGAGAACTCACGCTCAAAAAGGCATGTTTCGAGGCGCGTGACTTTCGAAGGCCCTAAGAAAGCGATTCCCCCTCAGAAGGAAACGTTATCGTCTGATGACGATAGCGTTATACCTGAGAAGTCGTGCCAACACACGATAGGTTACTCCGATCGTCAAGCAGACGAGTTGTATTATCGTGCTGGGGGTACGAATAAAACCAGGAAAAGGGGTCCCAGAGAACAGGAAACTCAGTGTCCCTGTTCCAAACTCATTCGGGCAGTATTGTCTGAATACAGCTGCATCAAGGCGGTCCCCGAACGAGTTTTGGTTTTCAAAAGGCTTAGTACTGAAACGCCAAAACCAAGGCCTAGGCGTTTCCGACGAAGAAGAACGGTGGTTGAAGATGGAGAATTTCCGACGCCAAAACCAAGGCCTAGGCGTTTCCGACGAAGAAGAACGGTGGTTGAAGATGGAGAATTTCCGAGTATCACCACCAACATGACCAGCAGAGGGACATCGGCGCGAGATAATCTCGAGTTAATTCTGAAAGCATCCCAGCCTAGAACCTGTCTGCAGTCCAGAACCATCAAGCGAACAACCTATGGTAGGGTTCGGACAAGACTCCCTTCAGAAGATGAAGAATCTGATGCCGGCTCCGCGATTGCATCAGATAATACGGTATCCAGCGAGGGACAACCCCGCGAGGCACTTATGATAAGTGCGGAGCAAGTGGCCAAAATGCTGGAAGATGCCTTAGCTAAGCAACAGGAAACCTTCAGGTTCGAAATGCAGATGGCCATGCAAAACATGAGAGAAATGCATGACCAACAAATCCAGGCATTGACGAACCAGCAAGGCGAGCCAAGTCGTCGTAACCCGGTTAATCTGGAAGACGAAGACACTAATGCGAATGAGACGCATAATGCCAATAATCCTCCCGTCAATGAGGGGGTGGTAACGAGAATGTCAATGCAGACTCAGGTGAAAACTTGAAGATTAAAAGTCTCGAGAGCAAAATCAATATGTTGATTTCTGCTCAAGAAATGAAGAAAACGGGCATTCCTTGTCCATACCCAAGAGAGTGGGAATCAATCCCATATCCGGCGAAGTTCAACTTAATTAACTTCACGCCGTTTAATGGGATGGGTTCCCCCACTCAACATTTGATTTACTTCAAATCGCACTTGGGGGTAATCTCCGGTAATGCACCTGGGGGTTATCTCTGGCAATGAGCCTCTGATGGTACGGTCCTTCGTTGGCACTCTGCGTGGAGCCGCCTTCGATTGGTATCGCCACCTCAAGCCAGGTAACGTGAATAGCTGGGACGACATGGAGACCAAATTCCTCGCCAACTTCTTCGACGATGACACAGAGATATCCATTGGGTCGTTGCTTGATGAGAAATAGAAAGACGGGGAATTGGTCGACACCTTCGTCAAGAGGTTCCGGAACAAGGCGATGAACTGCCGGGACCCGATCACCGAGGAATTCATCCTCCAGACGTGCCACAACAACCTCGCACTGGACGTGTTGGAAGCAATGGGGACAGCACCGTCCAAGACATGGAAGGATCTGAAGGTCCGAGGAGAGCAGGCCGAGCGATTCATCAGAAGAAAGAAGGCGGAGAGAGGCCAACAGGCGAATAATGCTCCACAACAGAATTTCGTCCCACGGGGGAAAGGTAAGGCATATGCTAATGTAGTTGATGCTAATCAAACCTTTCAATTGCAACCTCAGCAACAACAATAGCGGCAGCAGCAACGAGCGCCACAACAATCACAACCACAATGGCAACAACGGCCTCAGAAGCAGAAGTCTTCAGAGTCAAGATTTCCCAAAGTGTACTCCTTCAAAGATGATGAAGTTCCCGGCATCTTTAAGTACTTGTTGGAGAACAATAAAATTCAGCTGCCAGCGACTGTGGATCAAGAAGGGGCTAGCAAAGTGACGGATCCGAGGTATTGTGCATACCATAGAGCGGTCCACCACCCTACGAAGTCATGCTACCACCTTAAGGACAAGATCCAGACGCTAATTGATGTAAGCGTCATAACCCCGAAGCCGTCCAAGAATGTTGGAGCAAACGTGGTTTCAATCAGCTTTGGATCAGTGCCCACAGCGTGGTTTGAACCAAAACACATCACCAAAATGGGAATGAAGATAGTAAACGACGACCCGCATGGACAGCGCCAAAAAGGACTTGTGCCACATACAGCCCCAAACGGCGAAATCCTCTGGGTTCACCCCGACCTGATTGAAGATGAACAATGGGCCGGATCATCATCCAAGAAGAAGTCCAAAGGGAAAGGAAAGTCTTGCTGCGGAGTCTCTGCTATCCCAGGAGAAGATGACGAAAGAATCCTAGCTTTCTCGCTCTCTGAAGAAGAACAAGAAGTTTTTGCGACTCGAAGCGGAAATGAGTATCACTACAACTATCCACCACCTAGTGAGCAGGGGGTGAATAAACGGGGACCATCCAAAACTCTCACGGAGATGGGGGTGATTACAAGTCCTACACCGGGCGAAGAAGCTCGACGACAGCCGGTGAATAAACCGAAAGAGAAGAATCCCCAGGAGGTGCAGAATCCGAAGCAGTCTCGTTTCAGTCGCCCGATTGGAAGAGACAAACCGGAAAGCTCGAAGACTCCGCAAGTCTTCGATATAATGGCTCAACTAGCCAATATTCTAGCACGGA